AATGGAAAGTCTTCGACCTCCAAGATCCGAGATCTTCTTCCGAAGGTATTCTAAGGATGAAAATGGAGAATGAAAATCGCTACATACGCAAGAGTATATCGGACTTGATTTATCCACATGTTTCGTTTTTTCTTTCTTTGGAATTTCCTTTGCTTCGTTTACGAGAAAATATTTCAATCCTATTGAAGAAGTGATAATCATATCTGCGTTGAGTAAGATACCGTTCGTGATATATGTATTAATTAAGAAGAGTATTAAATAGATTACAAGATTGATATTTATAGATAATAATAACAACAAAAAAAAAGAACGTGTGAAATTTAACGCATGTAAATAGATTAATCTAAGCCACACGTCGTGAATGACAATTTAGATTATATAAAGGGGTAAGAAAGAAACAAATCCACGATCATTGAAATATACCAAAAATTTATTTACATAAAAACATGAATATAATACCTATAATATTTCAACTGCTGCTTGCATTTTTTTGTCATTTTCATTCGGTGTCAATATATCGAAAAAACAATCGGCGTCGAGATACATCCTTTCAAACTAATCGATATTGTCGCTTTTTTTTCTTTGTTTTCTTTTTTAACGTCGCGATAGTCTAAAAGAGAAAAAGAACGGAAAGAAAAGAAAAAGAAAAACAGAAAATAGCGAGAAACAACTATTAAACGGGTCTAACTTCTAAAAGTATGCGTAAGAGAAACGTAAATCGATAAGATTTGCAAAAACAGTGTGTCGAAACCGGATAAATCAAACGAAACGCAGTGGAGCCCCGTTCGCAAGACTGGATTTTTCCATTCTATATTTTTCCCTTCCTTTTTTTCACGCCCTCCCGTTATATTTCGCTCAGCTTCACCCCTTCCATACGATTCGTACGTGCGTGTACGCGTGTAGTGCGCGACAAAAACGAAAAATCACCTTCTCCTCATCGTCATAAATAGTGCGTTTATTATTATTAAAATCGGTCGCGGGCGTCTCTCACAACCCCTTCGACGATCGTTCATTTTTGTCTCATCTTTCTGCGCTCTGCCTCGTCTGTTCGTTACAATATTTACAAAAAACGTACGTACAACACAGGGTATACTCGGTATCAGAGAAAGAAGAAAAGAAAGTGTAGTTAGGTACGAGATACACAACGATAAACGTGTTATCTTTTTTCCCCCTCTCTCTCTCTCTCTCCCTTTCATCTTGTCGTCTTCAAGAACACACCATCGATTCCTTTACAATCATCGTTAACGTTTATCCATTTCGTCTTCCTCTCTCATTCACGATCGTACAATACACGATCTTACGACGTTTACAAATTGCCTCCAATTGCACTCGACCCTTTTACTAAAAAGCAAGGTAATTCAATTTTCCAGTCGAACCACTCGATCAATAAACGCGAGTCTCGATCGACACGGTGTTCCATCGACGAATGATCTCTTTCTTTTCTTTTTTTTTTTTTTTTTTTTGACGTGAAATTATTTTTTTCGAAGATCAGCGACCATTTTAATCGTAGAATGAACATAGATACATGACATAAATCGTCGATCGTCCATATATCGTTGGTCGTGATCGTTCTTGCTGGCGCTCCAAAGTGTGCGGCACTCAATCAAATCAGCGTTCATCAGCGCTACGGAAACGATCAAGCAATCTACCGCTAAAGCTACCTGCTGTTTTTCGACATGCTTTCTCTCTCTTTCTCTCTCTCTCTCTCTCTCTCTCTCTCGTTCTATGAATTTCTTTCTTTCTTGTCGTTTAGCACGATTAATGTTTCCTTAAACTGTACGGGTATAAAAAGGAGTTGTTCGCTTCGCGCCGGCCGTTCTTACAAAATTTCCGAGAAACTGGAACCACGTGGCGCGAGTTTTTTTTTTTGCGGGGTTGCTCAAGAAAAGGCAACTTCGTAAAGTGTCGTCTAGCAAGAAACGCAATTAATATTGGTAAAATGTGTGGAAAAACTTCCGTATGAAAAAGTGTTTCTTTTCTTTTCTTTCTCTTAGTATTAGAAAATGTTTTATTGCTTTATTAGTTGTCGCGATAGTACAGTTAATCGTGCGTTATATTTTATGAAAATACTTTAGGTATTTTTCTATGCTCTCCTTTCTTTTTTTCTTATATTAGGGTGAACAAATATTTAAATGTCTAGTTACTGTAATAATGGAATTATTTTTCTATTATATTTTGTTTTACATATTTTTCTACGTCCTCTCCTCTCGTGTTGCGATTTCTGTGAATAATTTTATCGATGTTAGACATAGACACGAATTAAACAAACGTATAAGTTTCCCTCGGTAACCCAAACGTTAACCACTGTTCTTTATTTAATATCAGGGTTAACCTTAAAAGGAAGATATCGCTAAAAGAAAAACAAATCTCTATATATTAAATTAAGATATGAACTTAAAACATCCTATTCATTTCTACATACTTTTATTAAATATTTGTACTAACTTTAGAATCACAATTATGTACAAAATTAAAATAAATAAATCGAACCTTACAAAATAATACAAATATGTGTAAAACATCGCTTAAATCGTGTCAGTTACAGGATGTTCGATATTAATAGAAATTACTCCGACATTTACTCAAAACTATATTATACTTTCCACTTCTAAGATATCAAAAACTAATAAGAACAAGAGAAGAACAATTTTCAGTTTCTCATCTTAAACATAAAATATTCCTTTTTAAAATTATACGCTTATTTACTTTTTATCTTTTACGCTTGATCGAAAAGATAGCTTGAAAATGAAAAGCTAGTTTTCCCTTTAATTCGAAACAAGCTACATCCGGAAACAATCCTTCGCTGTTTCCAATCGCAAATAAAACAATATTAAACGATATCAAAATTCTCTTCTTTAAATCTATCATCCTAACATTCTTCTCTAAGTCGTATCCATATATTTTTCCTCTTCAATCTCGAGCAACCGCGTTAAAGGAGCTCCACGTGGTACTAGTCAATGATCAAGCAGACCATCCTGAACGCGGAAAAGCCGGTCACAGGATAATCGTAGAAACGCCAGTCTATCGTAAAAGACAGACACATACGACAGTCGATATTGTTAAGATCGATAATACGATTAGTCCCAAAAAAAAAGGATATTGTTATCAATATCGTTACCATTACTATTATTGGTTCATTTTAATTGGACCGCGGACACGGCAGACGATTATCATTCTAAATCGACATCAACCCTCTCCTATTCTTTCATACCTTATGAATTATTTTGAAGAAACGGTTGCAGGAGTCTCGTGTGTCGGTGTTTGGGTAATTAGAAAAAATGCTCACCAGGAGAGGCACTGGATACGCGTAAAATAGTCTCCCTTTGACACCTAGCTCTTTATCAAAATCGGCTAGTAGAAAATATCGCATCTTCGTCGCTTCTTCCGGTATGTGACGTCGTAAAAAGCTCACGACTCGACGAGACTCCATTTTTTATTTAATTTTCTTGTCCAAATTAGAACGATTCGATAAGAACACAAAATCGTGTTCTCGTTGGAAAAATTGAACAAAAAATCTAACAGCCCTCCTTGCTAGATAGCTCCGATATGAAAAATTAGACAGTTTGGTTGTTAGATGGCCGTTGCTGCTAGTTTCATTGGCGATCACACGAGTTCTAATGGCAGAAAATGCCCCTTCTCGTATTGCTCTTAATCGATATGGTTGTATAAAACGGTACGGTAGAGCGTAGTTGCCCTAAGTTCATTCGTTAGAAAGATTGAGACAGATATGGGTGAAGTAGCGTAGAAAAGTTGATGGATACTCTCCGAGATCGTTCTTGATCACTCGACGCTATCGACTTTATGAATTTTCAACGTGTCGATACATCGCGGACTTGCGAGAATAGCGAAACCGAGCTATGAAGCGTTAGAAACGTTCGAGTGAATTAAATCGATATTAATGCACGTAATGTATACGTAATTAACGGACAATATGTTAAAAAACAGTGATTCTTAAAAGTATGTAAGTATACTTGATTTGGTACAAATCGATATAATCCATGAGAAATTGTTTTCCTATGTCGATTAAAAAAAAAAAAAAAAAAAAAAAAAAAAAAAAAAAA